CAGAGGCTGGATGGCCATCTGTCAGGGGTGCTTTGAATGCAATTTTCCTGCTTCTTGGCAGCGAATTGGACTGGATGGCCCCTTCCAACTCTATGATTCTATGAAGTTGCAGAAGACTCTGCACAATGTCTAATGTCGCACACATTTAAGAAGCTGCTTTAAAAACAGGATTTTGCATTGAGTTGAACATATATTGCATTAAAATAGTGTGTTACATACTGAAGTTAATTAAAAAGGCTTAAGAAAGATTAGAATATTGTTGCCTTCCCTAAACCTCAGGGTTTTGTGGATATGATTTCATCGTACGGTCTCTTTCCCTTGATCTGGGAAAGGCTTAGTCACCACAGGGGGGAGTTAAAGCCACACAGTATTGCAGCCCGCTTCAAAGCACAGGAAAAATTCAAATTAAGGTTGTAGAATCCCTGCTTTTGAGAAGATCAGATTCAACCCTGCTTTAAAAAAAAGGCTTTAGGCTATAATTTTATCCATTATAATCTTCCCCAATACACATCAGTATATAAAATAATACAAAGTATAAGGAGTCCCCGAGTTACAAAGACCCTGAACTTACAAACGACTCATAGTTAAGAATAGGGGTGAGACAATAGGACAGTGGTTCTCAACCTTCCTAATGCCGCGACCCCTTAGTACTGGTCCTCATGTTGTGGTGACCCCCAACCATAACGTTATTTTCGTTGCTACTTCATAACTGTCATTTTGCTACAGTTATGAATCGTAATGTAAATATCTGATATGCAGGATGTATATTCAGTCACTGTACCAAATTTGGCACAAATACCCAATATGCCCAAATTTGAATACTGGTAGGGTTGGGGGTGATTGATTTTGTCATTTGGTAATGCTGGAGTTGCTGGGAATTATAATTCACCTAAAATCAGAGAGCCTTCTGAACTCCACCAATGATGGAATTGAATCAAACTTGGCACCCAGAATTCCCATGACCAAGAGAAAACACTGGGAAGGTCTGGTAGACGTTGTCCTTGAGTTTTCGGAGTTGTAGTTCACCTACATCCAGAGAACACTGTGGACTCAAGCAATGATGGATCTGGATCAAACTTGGCACAAATACTCAATATGCCCAAATGTGAACACTGCTAGTTTGGAGAAAATAGACCTTGCCATTTGGGAGTTGTAATTGTTGGGATTTATAGTTCACCCACAATGAACCCCACCAACGATAGAATTGGACCAAACTTTCCACACAGGACCCCCATGACCAACAGAAAAGACTATGTTTTCTGATGGTCTTTGGTGACCCCTCTGGCACCCCCTCGAAAACCCCCCAGGGGTCCCGACCCCCAGGTTGAGAAACACTGCAATAGGAAGTGAGAGAAATCTACCCATTGGAAAGGAAAGTCCTGGAATAATTTTCATGGGGGGAAGGTATCTCAAATGAAGCTTTCTTGCCGATCCTTATTTCCACAACAAATCATTATTTTCAAAATCCAGTTATCACAGGGACAGAAAGTGAGGTTAATTCTTCTGAATGGGCACAGACAGCAAAACAAACACCACAGGGGTGTTCACTCTTCCCTATGCTAGCCAGACCATGCATAGATATAGGTAAAGGTTTTCCCTTGACATGAAGTCCAGTTGTGTCCGACTCTGGGGACTGGTGCTCATCTCCATTTCTAAGCCGAAGAGCCGGCGTTGTCCATAGACACCTCCAAGGTCATGTGGCCGGCATGACTGCATGGAGCGCTGTTAAAGCATCGAAACATCCCCTTGGCAAACAGCTAATTCTCTCACACCAGAATCAACTTGCCTTTTCTCAAGTCGCTCCTGACATGAACAAAAAAATTTACATTTATTCTATGTAAATTCTGGGAGCTACTAATGAATCGCTAATTAAAGGTTATATGCTTTTTAAAAAGATTTTGTGCTTTTTATATGTTGATCACCTTTCCAGATTTTTCCCCAGGCCCCCAGTTCTTTTTTGTTTAGCTGTTTTAGCTCTGGGAAAGAGTCTCATACTATCCTTTCATATAAAACTAAATTGACTGCATGGATGTTATTTCCGTGGATGAAATTGTGTGCATCTAGCATTAGTTACTCATCTGTGGCTAACATGCTGTGCTATACAGTATGTACTTCTATCAGAAAATCTCTCAACATCTGTACCTTCCTATGATTTGTACCAGGCATCAAAACAAACACACACATTTCTCACACATGGCTAATCCTGCCCTAGATGGAAGTGAGCATTTTGTATGAAGAAGCTTTTAGGTTTCTGAACACAACATAGGTTAAACTTGTGCCAACATAATTAACTGATCATTAATAACCAAAGGTTTTCCTTAGAGTACCAACACTTGTGGTTCCCACTCCTGATTTAATTCAGATGGTATCACAGAATGGATTTCACTGCAACATATTGGCACAGTTTCACTGAAGAAGTCTGATTTTTCTCACAATAGATTGCTTTCAACTTAAAGCAATGTTACATAAGTACTTCTGATAAGAACAATCCACTAGTAAGTGGGAAATCCTGGCCAATTTAAGTTGGTTGTAAAGACAGACTCCTTCATGGTGACACAGAACAACTTGTACTTTTGTGACCATTTGCACACATATTGTCATCTGAACATGAATATGAATATGTGAACATGTGAGGACAAAGAATGAAGTGAATGCAGCTTTGCTTTCAGAAGGACTTAAAAATGAAGAACAGTCAGAACATGGTAAATTCTGTTTTATAACATAATTAGATAAGAGATGACAAACTGGATGGATGTCTATGTGCAGTTTCTGCCAGCCTGAAAACAGCTTATTCTCTTTTCATGTCATCATATTTGTTAATAAATAGCATGGCCCGACTTACCGGGCCAAAGAAGTTGCGGTGCAGGGTGTCCCCCACCGCCATTCTCGCCTAAGGGGGGCTTCTTCCTCCCAGAAGCCCCCTCTGATGGCGGGAAGGATTCCCGCCGGCGGGTCAAGGGGGCCAATAGCCTATTGACCACGCCCACCACAGGTGAGGCCTTAGCTGGCCTCTCCCTCTTTCCGGTCAGCCTTCTTAAGGCTGCCCGGGCTCCCCAGCAGGCACTTGGCCTGCAACATGGGCCCTGGATCTAGTTTGGTATCCCCCCCTAGCGGTTAGGGGTGGACGCCCGGTGGTCCCAGGGGTGCCAGGTTGCGTTTGCCCGGTATTGTGCCGGCAGCATATTGTGCGGGATCGGGCAATATTGGGCTGTCCTATCATGATCCAGGACCCATGCTTGGCTGCCAACCCTCGTTCCTGTTTGCAATAAATGAGTTGTGGCCATTGTTTATCCCACATCGTGTGTGTGTGTACTTCTTGGGCTGGCTGTGGGAGGTGTATCGCACTTGCACACGCAACAGGATCCTATAAACAGCAATTCTTTAATATGAGCTCACACTTTTTCCAAGTCAGATCCTCAAAGCAAGTTTGAACTATGACCTTATGATGATGCTTAGGTTTCAATCTATTGCAAGACTAAGGACCTAATCACATTGAGATCCCAAGCCAGGCGACAGCAGGGGATTTGCCAGGCAACATGGTGAATCCATGGGACAGCGGGGAAAACTATTTCCCCTACATCATCATCAGTATTCATTCCTTGGGGAAATTAGGTCTTCATCATCCCCCTTACCTTTAGAAAGAAGGTTAAAATGTGGATGTGGGACCAGGCCTTCAGGCAATTAGGTTAAAGGACAATTGATAATGTTTGACTATGGCTTGGAAGTGGATTTGGATAAGTTAAGCGAGTACTCAATCGTATATGGCTAGACAAATAGCCACCAGACTGGTAATAGCTCAATGGACTGTAAGTATACTGTTTTAATCTTTATGTCTTAATGTTTATGCTTTTAACTGTTATAATTGCTGTTTTGTATTTTATTATGCGGCATCAAATTGTTGCCAATTGGAAGCCACCCTGAGTCCCCCTAGGGGTTGAGAAGGACGGAGTAAAAGAATGTTCTAAATAAATAAATAAAAAAATTATTATTATTATTATTATTAGAAACACAACAAGATGAGTCCACAGCAGACACTCTGCTGGCTGTTGTATTGGATCACATTTTGGACACTTCCCAAGTGTCTAGGACTGTGTGATGTATCAGCGAAAATGCGTGCAGATCCCAGTAAGGTGGCCTTCTGCAGTTGGCAGATGGTAATTTTGTCAACGCCGATTGTGTTTAAGTGCAGGCCAAGGTCTTTAGGCACTGCACCCAGTGTGCCGATCACCACTGGGACCACCTTGACTGGTTTGTGCCAGAGTCTTTGCAGTTCGAACTTTAAATCCTCATATCGTGTGAGCTTTTCCAATTGTTTCTCTGCAATCCTGTTGTCACCTGGGATTGCGACATCAACGATCCCATTATTATTATTATTATTATTATTATTATTATTATTATTATTGAAGCTGCACAAGCAGTGGTTGCCCAGAGGTGGAAAGACCGTAGAAAATGGGAAATACAAAAGTGGTATGAGTATTTAGCAGACTATATGCTGCAGGATTACATTATGGAAAGGAGAATTAAATATACAATCAGGGAATTGAGACACTAAATTGGGACACTATTTGTATACCACCCTTTTCAACCCCGAAGGGGACTCAGGGTGGTTCACAGTTCTGGCAACAATTCTTTCCCCGCTATGCCGTTTTCCCCATCACATGGTGGAAAGCATCACTTCCAGGTTCTCTCCCATTCTAACTAATGAGAACAAGGGAAGACTCCTGTGTTGTCTGCACAGCATCTTAGGATGCTGCCAGGACGCTTCCTATATGAAGCCCCACTGGAGGTAGCCTTGATGTGCTTCAGTGGGTACCATCAGGGAAGCGTGCTGGAAGCATCCTAGGACACTTCCTAAAGGCAACGTGATTTGGTCCTAAATGTACTAGATTAATCTAAAGCCACTTGGGTGTACATAAATTCTGGAACTAAATTACAATAGCATAAAATTACTAATTTGAGTATAAATATGTGTATGCATATATAAAATACTACATACATACCTAGGAGTTCCTGGCAAGCGTTGAAGTGGTATGAATGTATCTGACTTTTTTTTGTACATAGCACTATGAAGAGAAAAAAACAAAAGCTAAAGAATCATCATTATACTTCTTCTGTAGGCATGTTTCCATCTCCCAGTATAGTTTACAGCAGGGGTCCTCAAACATTTTAAACAGAGGGCCAGGTCACAATCCCTCAAATTGTTGGAGGGCCGGATTATAATTTGGAAAAAAAAATGAATGAATTCCTATGCACACTGCACATATCTGATTTGTAGTGCATAAAACACTTTAAAACAATATAATAATTAAAATGAAGAACAATTTTAACAAATATAAACTTATTAGTATTTCAGTGGGAAGTGTGGGCCTGCTTTTGGCTGATGAGATAGGATTGTTGTTGTTGTTGTGAGCTTTCAAGTTGTTTCAGACTTAGGTTGACCCTGAGCAAGGGCCGGGTAAATGACCTTGGAGGGCCGTATCCGGCCCTCAGGCCTTAGTTTGAGGACCCCTGGTTTACAGTGAAAGCTGTCTATGTGTTAAGGCTGTAACTGCTTGGGTACTGACTGACTTTCCGGTCGTTTTCATTGTGTGCTTTTTTATGTTAGTTTCATTATATATATATTGAGTCATCCTTAACAGAAAGGCAAATATAAATTTGGAAAATAAATGAAAGAAATTCAAACTTGCCTCCCAAAAAACACAGGTGATCTTGTCGACCCTTTTTTATGAAAGTCTGGACTTTCCTCTGGATTAGCGTATGGGTGGTCACCTGGTGTCACGAACGGAATGCCATTTCTGGAATCAATTTCATCCACTATGGTTGCAAAGAAAGGCATATTTAAATAATAAATCTGGGCCCATTTGTATTTAGAAATCTGTCCTCCTCCAAAAGAAGTGGCATGGACATACATTCCAAAATATTAATTCAAATATAGGCATTATGATCTAAACCAGCGTTTCTCAACCTAGGAGTCGGGACCCCTGTGGGGGTTGCAAAGGGATGTCAGAGGGGTCACCAAAGACCACCAGAAAACACAGTATTTTCTGTTGGTCATGGGGGTTCTGTGTGAGAAGTTTGACCCGATTCTATTGTTGGTGGGGTTCAGAATGCTCTTCAATTGTAGGTGAACTATAAATCCCAGCAACTACAACTCCCAAATGTCAAGGTATGTTTTCCCAAAACTCCACCAGTGTTCACATTTGGGCATGTTGAGTCTCCATGCCAAGTTTGGTCCAGATCCATCATTGTTTGAGTCCACAGTGCTTTCAGGATATAGGTGAACTACAACTCCCAAACTCAAGGCCAATGCCCACCAAACCCTTCCCGTATTTTCTGTGGGTCATGGAAGTTCTGTGTGCCAAGTTTAGTCCAATTCCATTGTTGCTGGAGTTCAGAATGCTCTTTGATTGTAGGTGAACTATAAATCCCAGCAACTACAAATTCCAAATCACTAAATCAACCCCCCCCCCCCCCCCCCCCCCCCCCCCCAACCCTGCTAGTATACAAATTTGGGCATATTGGGTATTTGTGCCAAATTCGGTCCATTGAATGAAAATACATCCTGCATGTAATATTTACATGACAATTCATAACAGTAGCAAAATAACAGTTGTGAAGTAGCAACAAAAATAATGTTATGGTTGTGGGTCACCACAACATGAGGAACTGTATTAAGGGGTCACGGCATTAGGAAGGTTGAGAAACACTGATCTAAGCCAAAACGTACTTATTTAATGTCCAAACAGTATAATCATTTCTCTGTGGCCTTCTTTAAGGTTTCTCATATATTTTGTCCTTCCCATAGTAGTTTTCACACTTATTGTCTAAGCAGGTGCCCCATTGACTTTGGCCCTGTCCACTACAGGCAGGTGGCCCCTGGTAGATAACTTCAGAAAGAATACCTCCTTTGATATTTCACCTCTGGGGTTTAATTTCAACACTCTTTCCTTTAAATTTGCCTTGAGGTTGCAATATCACGTATTCAATTGGCCATAGTACCTTAGAAGGAGTAGCTGTTCCAACCCCGTACTCTAGAGAATCCAAAGCTAGGACAATCCACCTTCTGTTTAAAGATGTCCAGATAGGTCCTACCAAGCCAATTGGCTCCTCTTCCAACTACTCATACCATTAAAGGGTTTCTTCCAGTGTTCGGTCATAATCTATTCTCATTGGATCTATGCCCATTCAATCTAATTAAATATTTGGACACAAAGTGACAAATCATCTCCAGGGCCTCCTGGGGAATCATGTCATCATTTTGACTCCAGCTACAGGCAAAGAGCACGGTACTTTTCCATCTCCACTCCACCCCTTTTCTCCACCAGTTAGTAAATGGTCAGGTTGGTGGAGAATAGGGGTGATATTGTGCGTTAGACGCAGAGATTCTCAACCTTCCTAATGCCGCAACCCCTTAATACAGTTGCTTGTGTTGTGATGACCCCCAACCATAAAATTATTGTTGTTGCTACTTCATAACTGATTTTGCTACTGTTATGAATCGTAATGTAAATATCTGATATGCAGGATGTATTTTCATTCACTGGACCAAATTTGGCACAAATATCCAATACACCCAAATTTGAATACTGGTGGGGTTGGGGAGATTTATTTTTTCCTTTGGGAGTTGTAGTTGCTGGGATTTATAGTTCACCTACAATTAAAGAGCATTCTGAACTCCACCAACGATGGAATTGAACCAAACTTGGCACACAGAACTCCCATGACCAATGGAAAATACTGATGTCTTTCATAATAAATTTTAATAAAAAGTTGGTTTCTCATTATTTGTAGCATTAATGCCTATTAGATTCATTATCTTGCCATTCCAGTTGATTTACAGCCTCTCTTCTAATGCAGGATCTCATTAGTAACAAATTTTCCAAAACAAACCTTCAACATAAAGATTACATTTTAGTTTTTATGGAAAAACTAAAATGTAATCTTTACCTCATTCTCATTTACCTCATTCTCATTAAAATACTTAACATTAAATATGGTAACCTACCATGACTTTAAAAAAAAGAATGAGCAACAGCAAAAAAAAAACCCCCAAAAAACGGGAAAAAAACCCCCTAATGCGATCAATTAAAACCTGAAAGATTAAAGTAGCCAATGTATTGTTGAAGGCTTTCATGGCCGGAATCACTGGGTTGTTGTAGGTTTTTTTCGGGCTATATGGCCATGGTCTAGAGGCATTCTCTCCTGACGTTTCGCCTGCATCTATGGCAAGTATCCTCAGAGGACCTCACTACCTCTGAGGATGCTTGCCATAGATGCAGGCGAAACGTCAGGAGAGAATGCCTCTAGACCATGGTCATATAGCCTGAAAAAAACCCTACAACAACCCTTTAAAGTAGCCCTTCATGTAATCTTTTAAGAGCTGGCTACAGAGCTGGAAGGAAATACTAATCTATATGTTTGAAAATGTTGTAAATGGTACAATTTGAATGTATGAATTCCCAGTAGAAAATCTGAATGTAAATATCCAAAACCTTAAATCCAAGATTTGAAATGCCATCAATGCTTTAAGACAGCTTTCCAAACATTTCATGTTGGCGACACACTTTTTAGACATGCATCATTTTGCAACACAGCAATTCAGTTTCACTACAAACTGGGGGTTAAACCAATCCCTTATAAGAGATACAGGTACATACATAAATTATAATAACAAAATGTATGAGAACACAAGATCTCTTATGAAAACCTTTCATCTATCTATCTATCTATCTATCTATCTATCTATCTATCTATCTATCTACCTATCTAAAATGCTCTGTGCATAATGAGTACCTTAAAAACAAAAGAACCAATGAACGAAATCACACCAAATTTGGCAACAAAACGTCTCACAACACAAGGAGTGATCATCACTCAAAAAATTATGATTTTGTCATTTGGGAGTTGTAGTTGCTAGGATTTATAGTTCACCTACAATCAAAGAGCATTCTGAACTCCAGCAACAATGGAATTGAACTAAACTTGGCACACAGAACTTCCATGACCCACAGAAATTACGGGAAGGGTTTGGTGGGCATTGGTCTTGAGTTTGGGAGTTGTAGTTCACCTATATCCTGAGAGCACTGTGGACTCAAACAATGATGGATCTGGATCAAACTTGGCACAAGCACTCAATATGCCCAAATATGAACACAGATGGCGTTTGGGGGGAATAGACCTTGACATTTGGGAGTTGCAGTCACTGGGATTCACAGTTCACCTACAATCAAAGAGCATTCTGAACCCTACGAACGACAGAATCGGGGCAAACTTCCCACACAGAACCCCCGGGACCAACAGAAAATACTTAAGGCCACCCAATCCAACTCCCTTCATCAGGGCAAGAAAATGTAATCAAAGTCCTCCTGACAAAGAGCCATCCAGCCACAGATATAGATAGATAGATAGATAGATAGACAGACAGACAGACAGACAGACAGACAGACAGACAGACAGACAGATAGGGAGTTGTAGTTTCTGGGATTTATAGTTCACCTACAATCAAATAGCATGACAGAACCAACCAGGACATACAAGACTCCCATGACCAACAGAAAACGCTAGAAGAGTTTGGTGACCATTGACCTTGAGTTTGGGAGTTGTAGTTCACCTACATCCAGAGACTACCATGGACTCAAACAATGATGGATCTGGACCAAACTTGGCATGAATATTCCATATGCCCAAATAAGAACACAGATGGAGTTTGGGGGAAATAGATCTTGACATTTGGGAGTTGTAGTTACTGGGATTTATAGTTCACCTGCAATCAAAGAGTGTTCTGAACCCCACAAATGACAAAATTGGGCCAAACTTCCCACACAGAACCCCCATGACCTACAGAAAATACTCAAGGCCATCCAGTCCAACTCCCTTCACCATGGCAAGAAAACATAATGAAAGCCCTCCTGACCAAGAGCCATCCAGCTATAGATATAGATATATATATATATGATTCACACACAGAGAGAGATATAGTATCATAGATTTGAAAGATACCCTTAAAGAAGGACTATGATATGTTGCATATTCCAGAGTAGGCAAACCAGACACTCTCCACATCAACAGTGACAAAGAAACAGCAAGAAATACTGTTACCCGCAAGCATAAAGAAATTACATATATTAGAAACCAACACTTTCTCATTACTTTATTTTCCAGATCAACAGACTGGGCCACAGCAACGCGTGGCAGGGGACAGCTAGTGTTTTTGAAAAACGATTTATTGCTTATTTCGCATACACCCAGGGGTTTCGTGTCACATTTACACATTGCAGTCAACACCCTAACGTGGTGCAATACAGAGTTTGGAAAGCTGTGGTTTAAGATAATAAGCTTAAGTATAACACAGTTTGGGGGGAGGGGCTTTACCAAATCTCTTCTTTCCTGTACACATCTCCACTGTCTTTTCAGTTGACGTGGTTTTGTTTCGCATGTAGATACCATCAAAGATACACTTCTTTCCTGTATGATAGGTATGATTACCAAACGGTGGATAAAATGTCCATTCTAAGGTTGAGTTTTCATTTTTATCTAAAGAAGAGAGGGAAAGTGGGGGAGGGAAAGGAAATAAACTGTGAAAACGCTGGATTTAGAAAACCTTCCCAGTTTCCTTGTCCCAATGTATCTCCCCTACGAACCAGCTCAGAGACTAAGATCATCTGAGGAGGCCCCTCTCTCAGTCCCACCTTCCTCACAAGCATGGCTGGTGGGGACGAGAGACGGGGCCTTTGCATCTGAATACTTATGTGACTTTACTCACGTCGGAAGGTAGTCTGATGTTTAACTAACTGACTGCTTTCTTCTACCACATTTGTTTCATGGGAAGGAATACTAGCTTGTTGAGGAGAAGCCGCAGGACCAGAGCTTGATTTCAGTGAAGAATTATGCCTGACAAAAAATAAAAAGGAAGGGGGAAATTACCTACTTATTACTCATCTGAATGAACGAATTCTGGCTGACTGCTTATGCATCTGGCACATACTCTGAAGAACTGCACTCTCTGGAGGTCTTACTCGGTGTGTCTGGGTTTTCTTGACTGCCATTGTTACCGAGGCAGACATCTAACGTTGAGTCTTGTTCCTGAAGTCCAACAGATGTTATTTTATTGTTGCTTGGTTCTGGAAAACAAAGACATTTGAAATGAGCCGAAGATTACTAGAAAAATAACAATATGAATTTTTAATGCATGCCCTATGTAGTTATTTTCTGGTATGATTTCCTGACTGTAACATGCTTTTATGAAAGCATACATGACCAATTATTTTACTTGATCGTTTAGTTGCAAGTTAAATGCTTCTTTTCTCCTTTGACATGAATGCTATTGTCCATAGAGGGGGCTCTACTACCACACATTGAGGCTGACTGGCCATCTTGCAGTTAACTGATTTCAGCAACTACTAAAATCGTGGGTCTGGAGCCTGGCATGTCACGCTTCCCCAAAGGTTAAATCAGGACATGAACTGAGATGAAGGCAAAAAGAACAGGTCCAAAAGGATGCCAGAATAGAGTCTGTGCTCTTAAAGATCTGATATACCATGTTAATTTTACTTCTCGTGTCAGGGAAGCCAGTCAATTATATTACATTTCTAAGTGAACAAAGCAAACAAACAGACAAAATACAAAACTTGTGAGTTTGTTAGTTGATTAAATGTCCTTTGACCAGTATCTGGCCACTTGGAGTGCCTCTAGTGTTGCTGCAAAAAGGTCCCCCATTGTGCATGTGGCAGGGCTCAGGTTGCATTGCAGCAGGTGGTCTGTGTTTGCTCTTCTCCACACTCGCATGTCGAGGATTCCACTTTGTGGCCCCATTTCTTGAGGTTGGCTCTGCATCTCGTGGTGCCAGAGCGCAGTCTGTTCAGCGTCTTCCAAGTTGCCCAGTCCTTCTGTGTGCCCAGGGGGGAGTCTCTCATTTGGTATCAGCCATTGGTTGAGGTTCTGGGTTTGAGCCTGCCACTTTTGGACTCTCGCTTGCTGAGGTGTTCCAGCGAGTGTCTCTGTAGATCTTAGAAAACTATGTCTGGATTTAAGTCGTTGACGTGCTGGCTGATACCCAAACAGGGGATGAGCTGGAGATGTCTCTGCCTTGGTCCTTTCACTATTGGCTGCCACTTCCCGGCGGATGTCATGTGGTGCAATACCGGCTAAGCAGTGTAATTTCTCCAGTGGTGTAGGGCGCAGACACCCGTGATAATGCGGCATGTCTCATTAAGAGCCACATCCACTGTTTTAGTGTGGTGAGATGTGTTCCACACTGGGCATGCATACTCAGCAGCAGAGTAGCACAGCGCAAGGGCAGATGTCTTCACTGTATCTGGTTGTGATCCCCAGGTTGTGCCAGTCAGCTTTCGTATGACATTGTTTCTAGCACCCACTTTTTGCTTGATGTTCAGGCAGTGCTTCTTGTAGGTAAGAGCACTGTCCAGAGTGACTCCCAGGTATTTGGGTGCGCTGCAATGCTCCAGTGGGATTCCTTCCCAGGTGATCTCAGAGCTCGGGATGCTTCTCTGTTCTTGAGATGAAAAGCACATGTCTGTGTTTTAGATGGGTTAGGGATCAGCTGGTTTTCCCTGTAATAGGCAGTAAGAGCACCTAGAGCTTCGGAAAGCTTCTGTTCTACCATCTCAAAGCTCCCTGCTTGAGCAGTAATGGCACGATCATCAGCATAGATGAAGCTCTCTGTCCCTTCTGGCAGTGGCTGGTCATTTGTGTAGATGTTGAACATGGATGGAGCGAGCACACTCCCCTGAGGTAGGCCGTTCTTCTGTTTCCTCCATCTGCTTCTCTGGCCCTGGAACTCAACAAAAAAGCTCCTGTTTTGTAGCAGGTTTCCTATAAGGTGGGTGAGATAGTCCTTTGTGATATTATACATTTTTCTCAGGAGGAGGCGGTGGTTCACATGTTGTGAAATATAGAAGATATTTATTCATTTATTTTTACAACCATTTAATTTATTTTTACACCCATGCCAGCCCTCAATTGCCTGAGAAGCGGCCCTGCTAGGATCCGGGCTCCAATCGGCTAGGAATTCCCTCTGATGTCATCACGTTGGGGTTCTCCAGTGACAGAAAAAATAAACAGCTGTCATTTGTTGAATTCAAAGTCTTAGTCCATTCATTGTTCTGCCCACAATAGAGGCATAAACCCTAGGAATGTATTGTGGACACATGTCAATGAGTTCCTGGTGACTTAACTATTTAGTTTGGTTATAAACCTCTCCCACAACTTGTGCACTGATCCTCATCAGCAGTTGCCAATGGGTGTCAGAAAAACTTCTCAAGGACCGCAGGAAATATATCAATGAAATGGGAATTTATCAATGGGAAGAGAGTCAGTCAGTGGAGTTAGTAGGGATTTCATCTATGGGAATGGGGAGTACTTTTGAGTGTGTGCTTTTGAGTGTATGCATTAAGCACCTCTTCTTCTCGCCCCCCCATCTTATTGTGAAGACATTATGAAAATTGAGTATATACATCCAACTGCAGCTAGACAGACATTCTAGGCTACAGCTGTGGAAAGAAAGTGGGGAGACACCACCTATTTGACCTCTTTGGGGTTGTGGGATCTGGAAAGACAATCATCTGACATTGTGAGATTACGAGAAAAATATTATATAGAAATTTATGAATGAACCCCTAGAATTTATGAATGAGTGCTGGGGAGTGAGGCGGATTCTGGAGGTTCGTGAATGGGGGAAACCTATGAATGGGTTTGGCTCATATCTGATTGTCTCAAGGAGATTGAGGGTGCTTAGCTATCCTTCTAGGTTGACTTCCCTCAAGGTGATACATTTAGTAAAGACATTATGCAAATCCATGGACAACAAGTTAAACATGAGCGAACAATGTGATGCAGCGGCAAAAAAGGCAATGGGATTTTGGCCTGCATCAATAGGAGTCTAGTGTCTAGATCCAGGGAAGTAATGCTACCCCTCTATTCTGCCTTGGTCAGACCACACCTGGAATATTGTGTCCAATTCTGGGCACCACAATTGAAGAGAGATATTGACAAGCTGGAATGTGTCCAGAGGAGGGCGACTAAAATGATCAAGGGTCTGGAGAACAAGCCCTATGAGGAGCGGCTTAAAGAGCTGGGCATTTTTAGCCTGAAGAAGAGAAGGCTGAGAGGAGACATGATAGCCATGTATAAATATGTGAGAGGAAGTCATAGGGAGGAGGGAGCAAGCTTGTTTTCTGCTTGCCCTGGAGACTAGGACGCGGAACAATGGCTACAAGAGAGGAGATTCCATCTGAACACGAGGAGAACTTCCTGACTGTGAGAGCCATTCAGCAGTGGAACTCTCTGCCCCAGAGTGTGGTGAAGGCTCCTTCTTTGGAAGTTTTTAAACAGAGGCTGGATGGCCATCTGCTGGGGATACTTTGAATGCAATTTTCCTGCATCTTGGCAGGGGGTTGGACTGGATGGCCGGTCTGCTTCCCAGGGTGAGTTTTGATGACAGAAGAAGCAGCCCACTCAGCATTGCAAGGCTGTGGCTTTGCCAGTTCATGATTTATATGATTTGGTATAATTCATATTTGGGGAGGGTTACGATTTCTCGATAACATTGATATCATACATCAGGGTCCTCCGATCATGGGTTTTGAGTCCTGCTTTTCAACTGCAATTGCATAAATTCAACATCCTGCAGTCCCTTGTTCAAGGAATTACATCCAGCATCCCTTTACTACCACAAGGGGTGCATCTAAACTGTAGAATGCAGTTTGATACCACTTTAACTCCCATGGCTTAATAGTATGGCAGAGGTTCTCAAACTCTGCTCCTGTACGTGTTTCAGACTTCAGCTCCAAGGAATCCCAGACATCTTACCAGTTGTTAGGAATTGTGGGAGTTGTAGTCCAAAACATCTGGAGGACCAATGCTTGGGAACCATTGTACTATGGAATCATAGTAGTTTGGAGAGGCACTAGCAGTCTTTCGCACTGAAAACTAAAGCCCTTGTAAAAATATAATCCCCACAATTCTGAAAACATTGAGCCATAGCAGTTAAAATGAAGTCAAGCTACATTAATCCTAGAGTGCAGGTGCAACCAGGATAAGGCAATTTAAGTTAACATTTAACCAATTAACGTTAGCCCGCCAGTTACAAACAAATCATAGAATCAAAGAGTTGGAAGAGACCTCATGGTCCATCCAGTCCAACCCCATTCTGCCAAGAAGCAGGAATATTGCATTCAAAGCACCCCTGACAGATGGCCATCCAGCCTCTGTTTAAAAGCTTCCAAAGAAGGAGCCTCCACCACACTCCGGGGCAGAGAGTTCCACTGCTGAACAGCTCTCACATTCAGAAAGTTCTTCCTCATGTTCAGATGGAATCTCCTTTCTTGTAGTTTGAAGCCATTGTTTCGTGTCCTAGTCTCCAGGGCAGTAGAAAACAAGCTTGCTCCCTCCTCCCTGTGGCTTCCTCTCACATATTTATACATGGCTATCATATCTCCTCTCAGACTTCTCTTCTTCAGGCTAAACATGCCCAGCTCCTTAAGCCGCTCCTCATAGGGCTTGTTCTCCAGACCCTTGATCATTTTAGTCGCCCTCCTCTGGACACATTCCAGCTTGTCAATATCTCTCTTGAATTGTGGTGCCCAGAATTGGACACAATATTCCAGGTGTGGTCTAACCAAAGCGGAATAGAGGGGTAACATGACTTCCCTAGATCTAGACACTATGCTCCTATTGATGCAGGCCAAAATCCCATTGGCTTTTTTTGGAAGACAACAAGAGCATCCTTTGCCGATTCTTTGCCAAGCCTCCCTACCTTTTAAAAAAAATTGGTATTATTTTATCTTACATAATTAAAAATTTCAGTAGAAGGGGGTAAAATAAATAAAAAAGAGAAGAAAATTGAAAAAGAAAATGGGGTAGAATGAGAGAAGAGAAAAGAAAGAAAATTTGTGACTTCCAGTCATCCTCAATACATCTTTTTCTTTCTGTTCTTCTTTCTTAACACATTTTCTCCCCTCCTTTCCAATCTATCTCTTGGAATATTTTTTTCGTTCTGCGTTTCTTCTTGTTTATTTATTTACTTGCATTAGGCTCCAGTCTGTTTCTTTGTTGCTTTGACATTAGATATGTCAGTCTATCCATATATATTTTTTATTTCTAGTATTTTAATCAACCATTGTTCTGTATTGGGAATTTCATTTTTTCTCTCCAAACTCTGGCGTATAACCCCCCCTACCTTTTTCATCATCCTCGGGTGACTCTGCCCTTCCTTCTGCTTTCATCAGAGATAATAGTCTAGATTTCAAAAGGCTGGCTTCAGTTCCAAGAAGACGGCATTACTAGCACCACTCAGCCTCTGAATAGTAAGCTTATGTTACTGTACATCTTTACAAAATGGAGTTTCTGTACTAACTCTGCCATTGGATCGGCTGTTCTGTTGTCCTTTGGGTGCCAAGGAAACAAGGGACAGCAAACAAGGGGAGGGGGAGTTGTCGGATTCTTATAAATCTATCTGGTCCTTACCTTAAGAATCTTCTTAAAGAATATTCTTATATAAACATATGGATTTACAAAAGTAGATGTAAATGTTCATTTTTTTGAAAGGATGAGATAAAACTAGAAAACTGCAGATCAAATGGAACTAGCAAATGTAAACATGTTCTTAAATTCCTCGTTCCCAAATAAAGTCATAAGACATAATAGTTTATTTGAACTATAGATAGTAAAGAATGGGGAGATGTGGACATTTTTTGCCTCTAACACTCGTCCACATAAGCCACACTTTCCCAAAAATACCAATTTTCAGCTGTACATGATTCCAAATGCTGTTTAACTCCATGTTAACTCCTTCGTGACCGCATTTCCATTTCCGAACCCACACGATCCCTTCGATCTTCCGGAGAGGCTCTTCTCTCGCTCCCGCCCGCATCACAAGTGTAACTTGCGGGGACGAGAGAGAGGGCCTTCTCTGTGGTGGCCCCCCGGCTCTGGAACTCACTCCCCAGAAATATTAGGCAAGCCCCCATGCTAGCAATCTTCAGGAGGAACCTGAAAACCTGGCTATTCCAATGTGCCTTCAGTGATTGAATGTAAGAAACTCCCTGACCAAACTTCACAAAATGACCTCAATTTAATTGCACGAACTATCTTATGGTTCGTGCAATTAAATCCTTCCTCATCCTGGATCCTCCTCCTGATGTTTGACATTGTCCTATCTCCCAGTGTTTTAAAATTTTATCCTGAATTTGGCCCTGCCCAGCGAAATCTTTTGTGTTTTAATGTCTGATTTTATATTGTTCTGTTGTTTATTACATTGTTTTGCATTTCATGTATTTTATTTTTTTGATTTTTTGGTTTTATTATGTGCTTGTGTTATATTGTTGTGTATTGTACTGATGAGCGTGGCCTCATGTAAGCCACACCGAGTCCCCTTGTGGGAGATGGAGCGGGGTATCAATAAAATTTTATTATTATTATTAAGTAAAGCCAAGGAATGCTCCGGAGTTTCTGCTAAGGGAAGGTTTTGAACATCTGGACTCCCCCTCAGCAGTGCTGCTGGATGGACATCCTACTATACTTGTGCACGGATCTATTTTAGCCATTTTCCTTCATCTTCTTCACCTTCCTCAGCTTGGTAGGAAGGCTGTTAACTGTAAGGACTCAGTAGTCATGTTTCTTCGCCTGTAAAGGGACCACGTGGCAGTCGATCACAGCTCCTCCTCCCCTTTTCAGGAGCATGCGGTGCACAAAGAGGCTGTGCATGTTCCTCTCGCAGAGGTTTTCCTGTGACCCCTGCCTGTTGGGCCAATTGAAAAAGAAGTATGCCATGACGTGTCTTATACAAGCTGTGTCTGCTTCCTTAATCCCGTTGCTGAAACCAAGGTTCCCTTGAAGGGAAAAAAGGAAAGGGTCCCAGGGAGCAGACCCGTAGCCAGGATTTCGTTTCGGGGGGGGGGGGGCTGAATTTTTTTCAGGGGGTTTGGGGGGGCTGAGTGGGGGGGCTGAGTCTGAGTGTAAGAGGGTCTAGCCTAGCAAACCTTTTGTATCATTACCCCAATACCCCCATGCATATGGGATATATTGAGTATGGTGATCAGATCATGATATGAATAAACATAACAGTTTAAATAATGCACCAGTAAGGCCTTTTCGCGAACCACCATGAGAATTTGGGGGGGGGGCTGAAGCCCCTCAAGCCCCCCCCCCCGGCTACATACCTGCCAGGAAGGGTGCTTCCTTGGCCCTATTGCTGAAACCCAGGTCCCCTTTGAAGGAAGAAAGGGAGAGGATCCCAGGATCAGAAAGGGGAGCCTCATAATTTCCCCATTGCTACCAATGGGCCGGATCTAGCCAGCTGTGGACTGAAAACAGCTATTCAGCTACCTACCATGCACAAAAACAGATATGGAGACCTACCAGAATTCAGCCAGCAGAAATGGATCGAGGTTCAGCCGAAATGCACAAGCCTACGTGCTATTCCAGACTAGCTGCGGATTTTATTATAGGTGTAGTTGAGACCTGAGTTCAGTTGGACATATTTCCAAGTAACTAGGTGTAATGAATCCCTTACCTTAGCTAGCTGCCTGATAGCTTAAGGGAGTGGGTCTGGCGAAGCCACAGTATGCATTTTAGGAAAGGGAGACAGGGACACACCATCTTAGGTTATAGGTTTGCCTTAAGGGGGCGTGTTCAAATCTAGGAGGGAAAGTTAGAAGGCTAGGATTGGTTAGAAAGATCGGGGCAGAGCCTAAATGATCTAAAGGGGGAAAGTGACTTTTAAACTGAGGTTTGCGGTCCCAGTTGGTGGGTTGGAGTTTGGAAAGAGTAAAGAGAAGAAGTGTGGGTGTTAGTGAGAGCAGTTTGGGTTTTGAAGAAGAAGTTTGGGTCAGTCTTTTGTGTAGTATTCAGAATAGCTATTGAGGTTATAGCTAGAATACTGTGTGGAGCAGAACCCCGTTTGTGGTCTGTCCATTTCTTAAGGAAGTCTAGTTCAGGATTTTGGCTAGATTCCTAAGGGGGATTTTTGTGGGAATTACTTTCATAGATTCATTTCCTGAAGTAATTTTCTGTGTTGGAATTTTAAGACTTGTAACCCAGAAGTTTCTAAGATCTTTACTCAAACGCAACCACAAGCTTTTTATGCCAGTATTTTACTGAAACCATCAAGCATTTGTACCTGAATATTTCAAGCCTGTAACAATAAACGTTCTTATTGTTTTATTCAACTTGTACCAGCCTCAGTGTGAATACCTTTGTGGTCAAAGTATTAATTCAAGTCAGCTTTTAACAGCCTCAAAGAAACTCTAGTGACACAGTGTGGGTCACAGAACAACCTCTCAATAATACCTCAGCCGGTTTATTATGTGGTCAAAGCATTATTCAAGTCAGCTTTTAACAGCCTCTAAGAAAACTATAGTGACACAGAGTGTGTTACTGAACAACCTCTCAATAATACCTGTCTGTTTATTATTAATATGGTGGCAGCAGAAATCTTTTGAAGAGTCATTTTAAGTCTCTCAGTTCCAGTGGTTCCCAGTTCCTAACTTTTAAATATTTGGTTGGTTCAGCAACCATTCTCCCTCTATATTTTGGTGAGCTAGCTGTAGTGGTGGTGTCATTGTTATAATTAATTTAAAATCTTCTCTCTCTACTCTACAACCTTGCTGCGTTGTTATACTAGGCATCTTGTTTCAGTCTTTACTACATAAATGTGTGTGATATGAAAAAAATCAGGGCTACTTTGTTGATTAGGCTTTTCCTAACTAGAAAAGCAAGAAGATAGTGATACTGCTTACATTTACTGTTAGGAAACATACATACTTTAAAAAGCCCACTTGTTGTCATGTGTCGTAATTTCTCCGAAACAGTGAGGTATATGGGTCCTATAAATATTAAAAACAAAAGCTGAGCCCGATATTACCAATATTTCAGTGTTACTAATGTAAAGCCACAAAAGACACAATGTGAAAGCTATGAAATATCTGTGAATAAAAAAAAATTGAAACAGGATAAGCTTCAGTGATGAGTAAACATCTAAGTGAAAAATTGAAAGTGGGGCAGCCCTGTATAGAGTGACCTTCAGGATTTACTTTGTGGAATCTCCTTCTCTGTTGGAATCCAGGCCATTTAAGGGTTAATGTTCAGTCTTGTAGTTTCAGGAAGGGGAAACATGCCTCATTAATTCACTGGATTTTTGGTCAGATTATTAATGCCCGGGTGGACAGAAGAGAGGCCGTAAGCACTGCATCACCTTGAAGCAGTGAACCGAGAGAAAGAGTGCAAAAACTGGCTTCGAGAAGGAATTCCTTCTTCCAATTGCATACATATTTTATAAGTTTAAAAGTAAGAGAGTCCAGTTTAAGTCTAGGGAATTCTTCCTTAGAGCTGCTTGGATTAGTAAAAAAAAATTGACATATTGAGGCAGTCATTATTTAGTAACAGGATTATTCAGCTGAGCAGTCATTTGTGTTTACTCCAAGTAAGACTCTATTCCAAACTGAAGGAATTAAAAGAAATATGAAGACAGTTGAGTGTATTCAACATTTATTTTATCCTTGCATGCTGTTTTGACCTTTCCTGGGCTATTTCCAGAAGGACAGCTTATAGTAACACCAATGAATAGGGATATGTAGCCATTCTCTCTTCTCCTTTACCTGATTTTTTTTTTGTCAAGAGAAAATATTGGGGAAAACACTGAAATAATACATGAGTATGACCTATGGATAACAATTATGTCTGTAATATTCCATGCTTGAGACAGGCGTATTGTAGATTAAGATCCTTATTTGGACGATTTCCTCCCCCTCTTTTTTAGAATACATATATTCTAAAATAAACAGTGCAGAATTTTGAACATTGTGTGTGTAGGCACACACACATGCGCACGCACACACGCACACCCTTGAAACCTCCTTGAGGTTGTTAATAGTTTATTCATCACTGACACAACTCCCATAGTAACACAGGGTTCCTGTTGGAGGAAGGCTGGGGTTAAGAGCAAGTACAGGCAACGGGGATCCATGAATTTGTGTCGGGGAAAGAATTTGATCCCTGAGGTGTCGGGAAAAGAAATGCTGCCACTGAAGCATTTTGAAGCACATGGTCTGAAACAACAAAATATAATATCGAACATCCAAGCATGAGATGTGTGAAGCCCCGGTTATGAAACAGCTTTTCTTTTTTCTTGTTTGCCTCCTTTGTTGTTTTTCCGTTTTTCATAACTAGGTCAACCCATGCCTTTCGGAATCACAAGACAGTTCCTCATCATGCCTTTCTACATCCTCTCCTTCTTCATCAATATTATTTATTTTACTAATCTGTAGTAGATTCCTCACTGAAACGTTAGGTGAGCAAAAGTCATTCTTCTCACATGGGGAGGGGACCCATGCCATAGCTTCCCCAAATATTCAGTGAAGCTTTTATATTTGAAGGCCTTTTCTACTCCACAACAAACACCAAAGATAAGTCAGGGAGAGCTTGTGAATAAAATACTCCCTGGTACTTACCCGTATATTCCGGCATATAAGACGACTGGGAGTATAAGCCGACCCGCAACTTTTCCAGTTAAAATATAGAGTTTGGGATATACTCGCCGTATAAGGCTACCCCTCTTCCAACACACACCAAATAAATTTTTTAAAAGCATCACATTTGATTTAAATATGGTAACTTTCCTATTATTGTACCTCCTTCTCTGCCTCTCAGATCTCACACATGCGCACCTGCACCGCTTCACTGCAGTCTTCAGGAGCGAGATCTGAGAAGCAGAGAAGGAGGTATGGTAATACGATACAAGGGCAGGCCAGACAGGTAAAAGAGTTGTGTTTTTCTGGGCCCAGAGCCACTCTATCTCTTTTTTCCTTACCCCGGGCGCCCCAGACACCTGCAGCTTGCTCCGCCCTTCACTTACACCTTCCTGGTGAGGCGCTCTTTCACCTCACCATCGGGACCACATTAAGTCCACAAATCCTGATGAATAGATTTTCTTCTACCGTACTTGTACAGCAGTAATACTTGTAATGCATTCATACAGTTGCTGCATACGGAAGGGATGTGGCCACTGCCATTTTTGAGCTCCCCCACAATATGCAGCAACCACAGATTCTCCAATCCGGATTGGAAGTTTCAGCACCCGCTCTATAAGATGACTCCTGGCGTATATGACGACCCCTGACTTTTGAGAAGATTTTCTTGGGTTAAAAAGTAGTCTTATATGCCAGAATATACTGTACTTTGGAAAGCTGGCAATCACTGGGGTGAATGTAACTGTTGGAATGTTTCACACCTTGATTTAAAGAAAACTTCAAATTTCCTGATCCTAGACATATACAACTCTAAGTGGTCAGCCCCTCATCATTTACCATGTCTCAGAACTTTTTGCAAAAATCCTTTTTTGCACAAGACAGTGAGTTTTGCATTAAAATTTTGTACAGAATTTGTTTTACTAGTATTTTGTGCATCATAAACTGTTCATTGCACAAACAGATATTTTACCAAGAAGTCCTGAAATTGGAAAAAGAATTGAAAAATGCATAAAACTCTTGAAAGATTAGGAAGATAGCGTAGACATTTTTGCGTTTGCATAGGGGAATGAAATGAGCCAAGATGCACATTGTCCCTGCTTGACAGTGTCAGTATGCCTTCGGTAAGTGCTTTGCATAAGGAAGGAAGACATTGCAGAGCCGTTCTTGTTTGCTCACCCGCCCCCTGCCTGCCCACAATTCCCAGCAGGCGGAGAAGACACTACGGCTGCATTGCCAGATGGCATCATTAGCCAGCCATTAGTAATAGCGGTTTAAACTTCTGGTCCCTGGAATATCCGGCTGCCCATTCATCCATATCTCCCGGATGATGCGCTCCCTTTCTTCCAGTCTCTGAGCTCTCTCGAGCTCCTCGGATGAGGTAAAAATGTTCATGTTCAAAGTCCTTTCAAACCTGCGGTGCCTTCGTGCAGACAGGTCAGATGTAGTGTCTGAATCATTGTCGCTACCACTACTGTCACTGTCTGCCTCCCATGTCGGCTTTTTCGTAGATGATTTTTTGCAATCAGTTCGACAGGAAATTCGGAGCACCAAAGCCGCCAAGGTCAAAAGGAGTCCAATACAAATGCCAGACACAAAATACAGAGCTGCACGCTCGGGGTTTTCTGGGGAAAAAATAGAAGAGAAATGGTTTGAGTGAAGAGGGGAATAACATACAATGTCTGCATGCTCTAGCTAATAAGCTCAGAACATCAGGTTTAATAGCCGTCTTGTAATTTGGGGTCAATATAAGTTGAAGCTGAACTGGTGACAAATAACAACACTTTAATTTTAAGCTTCAAGATGGAAGAAGGAGGCTTTGTAACTGATACTGAGAGAACAGATAAGAGATTGAAGAGGCATTAATCTGTAGTGAAAACAACAAGGAGACGAGTGGCACCAAGTTTTATTTGGCATAAGCCTTCATGGTCTTCAGCCCACTGCATTAAAAATGAGGACATATCATTTTTGGCACATATACATACCAAGGGGGGAAGGAGGTGAAATATAGATATTGGCAATTATCTTAACAACAGTAGATAGGTTGTGCTAAGTAAAGGTTTCTTCTGACATTAAGTCTAGTCGAGTCCAACTCTGTGGGGTGGTGCTCATCTCCTTTTCTAAGCCAAAGAGCTGCCATTGTCTGTAGATGCCTCCAAGGTCATGTGGCCGGCATGACTGCATGGAGCGCCATTCTCTTCCTGCCGAAGCGATACCTATTGATCTACTAACTTTTTTTTAACTGCTAGGTTGACAAAAGCTCAGGCTAACAGCGGGAACACACCCTGCTCCCCAGATTCAGTGAGAAAGTTCAGCAGCTCAGTGGTTTAACCCACTGCACCACCAGGGACCTTAGGTTGTGCTACCCTAGGTTAGAACATCAGTCAGTCAAAACTATCTTCCAGGGATGATATGAGAATTAAATAGGGTGGGAGAATAAAGAAGGTTTTAAGTTACATATATTGCAACATAAGTTACATATGTTTTGCAACATCCTGGTGGCATTCCAAATGACCAATATGACAAAAATGCCTAGTGTAAAATATCCAATTTTTAATATGTTACAACATCAGTTTTGAAAAGCAGCAGTTCAAATTATTTTTTTAATAATTATTGACTTTTAAGTAGTGGCAATAATGCACCTTTTCAAAACTCCATGTATTTACAGATGAAAGATGTTGCTAATAGACATACAAATATGAATCCATTGTTTGAGTAGACATTCATTTTCTTTAAAATCATTGTGTCATTCATACACACATGTCCGAAGAGAGATTATAAGGTGTTCTTATGCTGTTCAGTCATTTCCGACTCTTCGTGATCTCATGGACCAGGCCACACCAGAGCTCCCTGTCGGCCGTCACCACCCCCAGCTCCTTCAAGATCAATCCAGTCACTTCAAGGATTCCATCCATCCATCTTGCCCTTGGTCGGCCCTTCTTCCTTTTCCTTCCATTTTCCCCAGCATCATTGTCTTCTCTAAGCTTTCCTTTCTTCTCATGATGTGGCCAAAGTACTTCATCTTTGCCTCTACTATCCTTCCCTCCAATGAGCATTCGGGCTTTATTTCCTGAAGTATGGACTGGTTGGATCTTCTGGTGGTCCAAGGCACTCTCAGAACTTTCCTCCAACAACAATGCGATCACCGCCTTGTCGGGGCGCTGGAGCTTGAGCACCTCAATGATGTCATGAGCGAAACCGTGAAGGGCCACCCAAGACGGGACGGTTGTGGCAGAGAGGTCAGACCAAGCGTGATCCCTGGGGAAGGCAATGGCAAGCCACTCCAGTATCCTTGCCAAGAAAACTAAATGGACCAGTACAACCAGAGATATGTCGGTATGCCATTGGAAGATGGGACTCCCAAGGTCGGAAGATGGCCAAAATGCTACTGGGGAGGAGCAGAGGATAAGTTCAACTAGCCCCAGATGTGATGACGCAGCTAGCTCAAAGCCGACAGGAAGGCTAGCGGCCGACGGTACTGGAGGTGAACGACGAATCCGATGCTCTAAAGATCAACACACCATAGGAACCTGGAATGTAAGATCTATGATCCAGGGCAAATTGGATGTTGTTATTGGTGAGATGTCAAGACTAAAGATAGACATTCTGGGGGTCAGCGAACTGAAATGGACTGGAATGGGCCACTTCACATCAGATGACCACCAGATCTACTACTGCGGACAAGAGGAACATCGAAGAAATGGAGTAGCTTCATAATTAATAAGAAATTCGCTAAAGCGGTGCTTGGATACAACCCAAAAAATGACAGAATGATCTCAATTCGAGTGCAAGGAAAGCCTTTCAACATTACAGTGATCCAAATATACGCCCCAACCGCAGCTGCTGAAGAAGCAGAAGTAGATCAGTTCTATGAGGATCTGCAGGACCTACTGGATAATACACCAAAAAGAGACATTATTTTCATTACAGGAGACTGGAATGCCAAGGTGGGAAGTCAAATGACAACTAGGATCACAGGCAAGCATGATCTGGGAGAACAAAATGAAGCGGGACGCAGGCTGATAGAATTTTGTATAACGAACACTCTCTTCCAACAACCTAAAAGACGGCTTTATACATGGACCTCACCAGATGGTCAACACCGAAATCAGATTGACTACATCCTTTGCAGCCAAAGGTGGCGGACATCCATCCAGTCGGTGAAAACAAGACCTGGGGCTGACTGTAGCTCGGATCACGAACTTCTTATTGCCCAATTTAGAATAAAACTAAAGAGATCAGGGAAAATACACAGACCAGTTAGATATGATCTCACTAACATTCCTAGCGAATATACAGTGGAAGTGAAGAACAGATTTGAAGGACTAGATTTAGTAAACAGAGTCCCAGAAGAACTATGGACAGATGTCCGCGACATTGTTCAGGAGATGGCAACAAAGTACATTCCAAAGAAAAAGAAAACCAAGAAGGCAAAATGGTTGTCTGCTGAGACACTGGAAGTAGCCCAAGAAAGGAGGAAAGCAAAAGGAAACAGGGATAAGGGGAGATATGCCCAGTTAAATGCGCAATTCCAGAGGTTAGCCAGAAGAGATAAGGAACTATTTTTAAATAAGCAATGCATGGAAGTGGAAGAAGACAACAGAATAGGAAGGACAAGAGACCTCTTCCAGAAAGTTAGAAACATTGGAGGTAAATTTCAGGCAAAAATTGGTATGATAAGAAACAAAGATGGCAGGGACCTAACAGAAGCTGAAGAGATCAAGAGAAGGTGGCGAGACTATACAGAAGATCTGTATAGGAAGGATCATAATATTGAGGATAGTTTTGACGGTGTGGTGAATGAATTAGAACCAGACATCCTGAGGAGTGAGGTTGAATGGGCCTTAAGAAGCATTGCTAACAACAAGGCAGCAGGAGACGACGGGATCCCAGCTGAACTGTTTAAAATCTTGAAAGATGATGCTGTCAAGGTGATGCATGCCATATGCCAGCAAATATGGAAAACACAAGAATGGCCATCAGACTGGAAAAAATCAACTTATATCCCCATACCAAAAAGGGAAATGCGAAAGACTGCTCAAACTTCCGTACAGTGGCCCTTATTTCTCATGCCAGTAAGGTAATGCTTATTTCATATGCCAGTAAAGATCCTGCAATACATGGAGCGAGAGTTGTCAGATGTACAAGCTGGATTTAGAAAAGGCAGAGGAATGAGAGACCAAATGCCAATGTCCTCTTGATAATTGAGGAAGGCAGGGAGTTTCAGAAAAAATCTTTTTCTGTTTTATTGACTATTCTAAAGTGTTTGACTGTGTGGATCATAATATATTTTGGCAAGTTCTTGGTGGTATGGGGATCCAAGCCACCTTGTCTCTCTCCTGAGGAATCTGTACAAGGACCAAGTAGCAACAGTAAGAACTGACCACGGAACAACAGACTGGTTCAAGATTGGGAAAGGCGTATGGCAAGGCTGCATACTCTCACCCAACCTTTTTAACTTGTATGCAGAACACATCATGCGATGTGCGGGGCTTGATGAATGCAAAGCTGGGGTGAAAATTGCTGGAAGAAACATTAACAACCTCAGATATGCAGATGACACCACTCTGATGGCCGAAAGCGAGGAGGAGCTGAGGCGCCTTCTAATCAAGGTGAAAGAAGAAAGCGCAAAAGCCGGGTTGCAGCTAAACGTCAAAAAAACCAAGATTATGGCAACAAGAATGATTGACAACTGGAAAATAGAGGGAGAAACCGTGGAGGCCTTGACAGACTTTGTATTTCTAGGTGCAAAGATTACTGCAGATGCAGACTGTGGCCAGGAAATCAGAAGACGCTTACTTCTTGGGAGGAGAGCAATGTCCAGTCTGATAAAATAGTAAAGAGTAGAGACATCAGACTGGCAACAAAGATCCGCCTAGTCAAAACCATGGTATTCCCTGTAGTCACCTACGGATGTGAGAGCTGTACCTTAGGGAAGGCTGAGCGAAGGAAGATCGATGCTTTTGAACTGTGGTGTTGGAGGAAAGTGCTGAGAGTGCCTTGGACTGCTTGGACTGTGAGAAGATCCTCCAGGAAATAAAGCCCGACTGCTCATTGGAGGGAAGGATACTAGAGACAAAGTTGAAGTACTTTGGCCACATCATGAGGAGACAGCAAAGCCTAGAGAAGACAATGATGCTGGGGAAAAGGAAGGCAAAAGGAAGAGGGGCCGACCAAGGGCAAGATGGATGGATGGCATCCTTGAAGTGCCTGGACTGACCTTGAGGGAGCTGGGGGTGGTAACGGCCGACAGGGAGCTCTGGCGTGGGCTGGTCCATGAGGTCACGAAGAGTCGGAGACGACTGAACGAATGAACAACAACAATGACTGTGGATCTTCTGACAGTCCAAGGCACTCTCAGAACTTTCCTCCAACACCACAGTTCAAAAGCATCTATCTTCCTTTGCTCCACCTTCCCTATCATCCAGCTCTCACATCCATAGGTGACTATGGGGAATACCATTGCTTTGACTATACGGATCTTTGTTGCCAGTGTGATGTCTCTCCTCTTCACTATTTTATTGAGATTGGACATTGCTCTCCTCCCAAGAAGTAAGTGTCTCCTGATTTCCTGGCTACAGTCTGCGTCTGCAGTAATCTTTGGACCTAGAAATACAAAGTCTGTCACAGCCTCCACGCTTTCTCCCTCTATTTCCCAGTTGTCAATCATTCTTGTTGCCATGATCTTGGTTTTTTTTATGTTTAGCTGCAATCCAGCTTTTGCGCTTCCTTCTTTCACCTCAGCTCCTCCTCGCTTTCAGCCACCAAAGTGGTGTCATCTGCATATCTAAGGTTGTTAATGTTTCTGCCAGCAATTTTAACTAAAAATGGATTATGAATTAGTCTGAGATCTTTCTGAAATACTACCATAGTGATAGGATTAAAGACAAATGATCCGGCTCCAATAATGCTGTTTCAATTTCAAGTTAAGGAAAATACATCATAAAATAACATTATCCTATGAATAGTTATGCTTTCAAAATGCTCTTTCATCACATCTCTGGAGACAGGCAAAGAAAATGGAACAGAGTGGAACAAATGGAAGGACAAGCTGAAATTCACAATGTTTGACTTCCATTTGTTGAGAAACATTAACTTCATATCCTTCATGTCAGCCCCAAGCAAAATAGGATTTGAGTCTATAAACAAACTACAATTTAAACTAACAGACTTTGGGTTAGTGTTATGTATAAACTAGGACACAGGCTGACAATGGTTCAATTTCAAAACAGTGCCTGGTTTTTTTTTAATAGAGGCTAAGCTATTTTGCAAGAATAGTAATGCTTAGGCTGTATACAATGCTGTAAGATTTTGAAAGCCATTCATGTAGATAATCTTGTTGTAGTCTTGAACTGAACCATGTGAGTTAGTGACAGTGATGCCCGAGATGAGAATGACAGGACTGTGTTGATATTGAAAGCAATACATTGATAAGCAATACCCAAAAGTGGTTTGGCCAGTTCCTTTCTGTGACATATACCTTACGGCCAGGCCCATAGCCAGGATTTTGATTTTTTTTTTTGGGGTGGTGGCTGAGTTTGATTCAGGGGTGGCTCAGGTTCTACTTTAGCAAACCCTTTGTATCATTATCCCAATACCCCCATGCATATGGGATATATCGAGCATGGTGATCAGATCATGATATGAATAAACATAACAGTTTAAATAATGCACCAGTAAGGCCTTCTCGCAGACCACCCTGAGAATTTGGGGGGGGGGGGGTTAAGCCCCTTAAGCCCCCCCCCCCAACCTAGCTACAGTTACAGCACTTTGTATTCATTGGCAGTCTCCCATTCAAGCACTAACCAGGGCTGACCCTGCTTGGCTTCCAAGCTCAAATGAGAACTGGTGCCTTTTGGGTATCTGGACCCTAATATGAGCATTCCCTAGAAAACCTAACGGGAATAAACTTCTGTTTGCAAGATTGTCTTTTTGTTTTGTTTTCCCTTTTCCTGCCAGAATACACTTGAGTGAAATGCAAAGCATAGCAGAGATCACTTCTATACAATTTAGTTCGAACAAATTTAATCAGTGATATTTAAACAATAACAACAATAATAATAATGTATTTTATTTATTAGTAGTAGTAGTAATTATTATTATTATTATTATTATTTATTTATTTATTTATTTATTCCCACCGTATCTCCCCAAAGGGGACACAGGGCAGTTAACAACATACAGAGGAAAATATTCAGTGCCGTAAAGTGCAACCAACAGTAAATAAGTTCCATAAGTTAAACAATACCTATTTGTTTAACTATACCTATTTCTAGTCATGAAAAAGATGCTTTACAAGTAAACATGTGTGAGGGATAACTGGAAGTTTTCATGCAGCATACCCAACACAAGTACAGATTAAAAACTGTAACCTGAGGATAGATTTATTCAAAACAGGACCACGACCTCTAAAGCTGCTTAATTTTAACACTTCAGACACAGAAATACAAAATACCTAACAGCATAAACACACACACATATCATTAATTCTCCAAATTATAGGGCCTTGACAGCCAGGAAGACTTTGATCTAAAGAGTAAAAAGGAGTATTATGTTTATTTGCTTGATGAAAGCAAATCCAGTTATGAGCACAATGAAGTCTTGAAACATGTGGAGACAATTCTAATGCTAGTAGCCCAACAGGCAAATTACTCTCAAACATCCAAAGATGGGGTATATTGGGAAGTCTCACTTAAAATCTCTCTTTAATCAGATCTTTAAGTAAATCACCCCCACTGTGCTTCAGTCTGCCGTCTGAAATACAGCCTCAAGAGCACTGACCTGCTCTACGGATGGTCTTGTAAGGCTGCGAGTGAACAATAAAAATTCTGCATAATGTTAGATCTGTATGATCAATGAAAAGCATGTTTCAATATTCATTAAGAAATTGGGGGGGGGGGGGTAGTTTATAAAGTGTTTCCGAAATTGGGCGGGGTCTGTATCATAACTAAAATGAGTTAACTACTTTTTCGTTTCTTTTCATTAAGTAATTAATTGTGTCAATAGGCTCATTGTTAGAGCAATTGGATTGAAACTGGCTACAATTATAGAACACATTTACCACTGTTAGCCCATCAGGTTTCAGAATGTTTCACTCATCAATAGATTTTTGGGGAATTTTCAAAGTTTTTAAAACAACATTTTTAAAAGAATTACAAGAGCTATCTTCTTGAATTTTCTATACAATGACACAAGATAACAGAGGATCATTCCCCAAAGTTTCAGAAATAGTCATATATCTACTGATTTTTGGGATTTTTTAAAAAGTTTTGACAAAAACTTTTTGGTTGGTTTTTTTAAAGCCACATTAGCTATCTCATTAAATGTCTTTCATATTAACCAAACAGAACTTCAATTTAGGGATTTCTTCCCAGCCCCGCACTGATTTACTTGCTAGTACTGAAGTATCCATCAGTTCTCCTCTTTGCAGATTCAACAATTTATTGGAACCATGGCTGCTGCTAGGAGAGAAAAAATATCTCCCCTATCCTATTTGAGCTTTCTGATGCTGAGCAGAATTCTGGGAAATGCGATTTAGGGCAAGGCCTTTGAATTCCCTGCCATAGGGCTCCTCACCTTCCCAAACTACATTTCCCAGAATTCTGTGCTCTCTGGCTCTTTCCCTGCTCACTCAGCTGCTTTCCTTTCCTCATGGCAAGTGGCCATTAATTTAAAGAGAAATGGCAGTCTTTTTGGCTTTGCCTCGCTTGTGCTGAAAATGAAACGAACTTTGATAGGCTTCCAAGCATTACATAATTCTAACAAAAAGGTATTGGATAAGTTTTTATTCTTAAGTTTTTGCGCAAGTGCCCCCCTCCCCAAGTGTTTCTTAGTATCTGTTCATACATACAAAACTTACGAATTAGATACAACTCCCTCAATAAAAATGAAGTTTCACACACCCCTAATAAATATAAGATTTAGTGACACAATCGGTTCTTGGCCTAACCTGGATATTGACCAAATATGGATGGGAAAAAATATGATACTGCTTTCCTTTCTTGATTTTGATTTGGTCTTTATCATGGATTTATTACTTTTAATATATGTGTGTTATGGCAACAATTTTTAAATTTTAAAAACAATATTTTTAAAAGAACTACAAGAGCTATCTTCTTGAATTTTCTATACAATGACACAAGATAACAGAGGATCATTCCCCCCAAGTTTCAGAAAGTGAGACTGGTGGGAACGAGGGACAGGGCCTTCTCGGTGGTGGCCCCTCGCCTGTGGAATGCACTCCCCGGGGAAATTAGGTCATCAACATCCCTCCTCTCTTTCAGAAGGAAGTTAAAAACCTGGATATGGGACCAGACCTTTGGGTAAGGCCTTTGGGCAGATGGATAAAAGACAATGACGACCAGAGTAGGAAAGGACAATGACAATGCTGAATGGATTATGGATTTATGAATTGGCGAACGTTGACCACAAGATGATTTTATTGCTGCTATTGTATTAATTTGACTGTTTTAACTAGTTATAACTGTTGTCATTATATTTATTTCGGTTACTTCTACCCCGCCCTTCTCACCCCGAAGGGGACTCAGGGCGGCTTACAAAGGCACAATTCGATGCCAGCATCACATAACAGTAGTAAACAAATAGCAACAATTAACAAATTAAACAACAGTTCCTGCATTACAACAATAAAACCAATAAAACCAATACAAACCCAATTACTCCTCATTGACGGTCAGCGTTCGTTATCTCATAGTCCAAATTCCAATTCCACATTGTCTGTCCTGTCAGTCCTAATCATCTGATTGTCCTTATCTAGTTGTCAGATTGCCCAAAGGCCTGATCCCACAACCATGTCTTTACTTTCCTCCTGAAGGAGAGGAGGGATGTTGATGCCCTAATTTCCCCTGGGAGTAAGTTCCACAGGTGAGGGGCCACCACTGAGAAGGCCCTGCTCTTCATCCCCACCAACTTCACTTGTGTATTATATTTTGTGAATTGTTGGGCATCGAATTGTGCCTTTTGTGAGCCACCCTGAGTTGGGGGTTGAGAAGGGCGGGGTAGAAGTACTCCAAATAAATAAATAAATAAATAAATATTATGCATATTTTGTTTTGTTAATCTTATGGTTATGTTGTTTTAACTTTGTACGTTCTGATTTTTACCTGGGAACCGCTCTGAGTCCCCTCGGAGAGATAGAGCAATATATAAATAAAGATTATTATTATTATTATTATTATTATTATTATTATTATTATTATTATACCTCAAGTCTGGCCAGATCTTACACAGAAAAAGAACATCAAAATCACATGCAATTATAAATAAGTATAGTCTTCTCTCTTTTACCAGCCTCTGGGGAAAAAAGGAAACTAAAAAATCATTACAAGAAAGTCAGAAAGGAATGTCAACTTCAGATACACAGATAAGTGTCTGGGTTAATCATTCAAGGGAGAAGTCTACCTGTGATAAATGAATATGCTGCTAGGATACTGCTGAGCAACGCCATTTCCGTGCTGGCACTCCCAGGCTCCATCGCCCCGCTGAAGTCCCTCCAACTGCCTCATCCAAGGGAAGAAGCCAAGGTGGATGCTGAACAGATCAAACGGGACAGATGTCCTTTTCTTCTTCCCTGTTTTGAAACACAAGCGAGCAACAGATGAAACACCTTGGATCCTTCTGCACTTGGAAACTGCAGCCTGGGGACCAAAATCTCAGTGAAACATTTTGGCATGAAGTTTGCTTTTGACTTTAGCTGACTGCTTGAAAACACTCCAGGCAACTACTGTGCTTGCTTGCAAGCCGAGTCTGTCTTTCCTAAGTTTCCTTCACTTTCTAGTCACTGGTTAGACACACCCAGATGATTTATCGCAACTGTATAATCAGACGCCATTTTTCTTCCCTCCCCATTTTGAAATCAAAGGTATAAGGGCTGAGTCCCAGTGAACTTGTAATAACTCAGGGCTGCTAAAAAAAATCAGCAAGCAACCAGCAGCCCATCTGTAATTCTATGGTTTCTGATGAACACCTGGCAAACAGTTCTCGTTCCCTCCAGCCTTTATTAAACACAGGTAAGATCTGTGTTTCCCTTTATGACTCCTCGAAGAGTCTGCATTCTTAAAGCTCCCCCAATAGCAAAGAAAAGTGAACCCGAGTTAATGATTGCATTTTATTTGTTAAAGTCTTGTAAGTGAGGGGACAATTAATTTCTTGTGCCTTCAAGGGACCCTTTCAAACCTTATCGGTTCAGTACCAAGAGCATATTGCACCTTGACCTGTCTGAAGGCATCAATAGTTTGAAACCCTAGGAGACAATCAGTCTCAGTAACATGTGAAATTGTCAAATGTTTGACTAGTGGCTTCAAAACTAGAGCTCGGAAGACCTAGGAAAAAAACGGAAAAAATGCTCTTTTTTCTTCTTTTTCTTCTGTTTCTTTCCCAAAGCATTTTTTCCCCAGGAAAAAAAAATGTGGTTGTTGTTGTTAATTCATTCAGTCATTTCCAGCTCTTTGTGACCTCATGGACCAGCCCATGCCAGAGCTCCCTGTTGGCCATCACCACCCCCAGCTCCTTCAAGGTCAAGCCAGTCACTTCAAGGATACCATCCATCCATCTTGCCCTTGGTCGGCCCCTCTTCCTTTTTCCTTCCTTTTTTCCCAGCATTATTGACTTCTCCATAAGCCGTAAAAATGGGGGGGGGGGGGATGTGTAGAAACAAAAAGTCTCAGAAATACATCATTAAGGCATTGAATGTTTGTTTGCCACTTTTTTTTGTCGTGTCAGGAGCGACGTGGGAAACTGCAAGTCGCTTCTGGTGTGAGAGAATTGGCTGCCTGCAAGGACGTTGCCCAGGGGACGCCTGGATGACGATGTTTTTTATCATCCTTGTGGGAGGCTTCTCTCATGTCCCCGTATGAGGAGCTGGAGCTGATAGAGGGAGCTCATCCACCTCTCCCCGGATTCGAACCTGCGACCTGTCGGTCTTCAGACCTCCCAGCACAGGGGTTTAACCTACTGCGCCACCGGGTGTTTGCTACTGTAATTTATATTACTGGAAACCGCTCTGAATTCCTTCAGGGAGATAGGGCAGCCTATAAATAAAGCATCATCATCATTTGAGTCCCCCTTGGGGTGAGAAAAGCGGTATACAAATACTGTAAATAAATAAATAAATCATAATAAATAATAATATTCTGCTGACACAAAAGCACAGCATGTCACAGGAAACGAGATCTATATGCTGGATTTCGTATCACAAAATCACAAGTTGAACACTTCCCAAGCGTTTAGGACTCAGTGATGTATTTTTGAATGATGCACTCATATCTGCAGTTAACAGATTGTGATTTTGTCAATGTTTATTGTTTTCAAATGCCAGCTGACATCTTTGGGACAGCACCCAGTGTGCCAATTACCACTGGGACCACCTCTACCAGTTTATGCCAGAGCCTTTGCAGTTCGATTTATTTTGAGGTCTTGATAATGACTGAGTTTTTCCTGTTGTTTGTTTGTTGTTGTTGTTGTTATGGTCTTCATGTTATATAGTTTGAATACCATGTCATAGATGTATTGTTTATCATTGGAAAATAACATAGTCTGCACCTTTTTTGATTTTTCTGGGGGTTGGCTTTGGGGAAAAATGGGGGGAAACTGTTCCCCCCCCCCAATTTTTCCACTTTTTTCCAGGCTTTCCCATTTCTATTCAAACCCCCTTCTCCAACTTTGATATAACATCAGACTAAGCACAATTTCATTTGGCTCACACTTATCCACAAATATTAACGTCGAGAAAGTGACAAGGCGAAGTGAATTCATTCTTTTCATTCAATACACTTGTGTCCCGTCCCCCTCCCCCCATCCCAAGTCACTTTTTTTCCTCTGATTTCAGAATGTATTTCCAAACCAAGTGATTATATGGTGTGTTAGCCTCTAATGTCTAGAAATGACACATCCCTAGGGGCATGGTAAGATTACCCGAGTTATCAATAATACGAGAGATTAAAGTATAAGATTTTCAGCACATGGAAGGCTTCTCCCAGTACTTTTCAGCAGGCATTATTTCTATGAGAAAGAGATAGAATGGCATTCCTGATATTATCTGTCACTAGCCATTCCCTGCCATGCGTTGCTGTGGCCCAGTCTGTGTATATGTGTGTGTATACATTTGTGTATATATATGGTTTTGTGCATGCATTGTAGTGTATTTTTTATTTATTTTTTTGGCTTTTTAAGTCTCTTCTGATGTGTTTTTCAGAGTTTTTTCAAGTGATGGTCACTTGTTGGCCTGATAGGCATATTATGTCTAAATTTGGTGTCAATTCGTTGCATGGTTTTTGAGTTATGTTAACCCCACAAATGAACATTACATTTTTATTTATATAGACTAGCCATCCCCTGCCACGCATTGCTGTGGCCCAGTCTGTGTATATGTGTTTTGTGTGTATATATATTTGTGTAAAGGTAAAGATTTTCCCCTGACATTATGTCCAAGTCATGTCCGACTCTGGGACTATGGTGCTCATCTCCATTTCTAAGCCGAAGAGCCGGCATTGTCTGTAGACACCTCCAAGGGCATCTGGCCAGCATGACTGCATGGAGCGCCGTTACCTTCCTGCCAGAGTGATACCTATTGATCTACTCACATTTGCATGTTTTCGAACTGCTAGGTTGGCAGAAGCTGGGGCTAACAGCCGGAGTTCATCCCGCTCCCCGGATTTGAACCTGCGACATATGTGTGTTTGCATGTGTGTGTGTGTGTGGTTTTGTGCATGCGTTGTAATGTAATTTTTGTTTTTTGCCTTTTTAAATCCCTTCTGCTATGTTTTTTAGTGTTTTTATGAATGATGGTCACTCGTTGGCCTGATAGGTGTATTGTGTCCAAATTTGGTGTCAATTCACCCAGTGGTTTTTGAGTTATGTTAATCCCACAAATGAACGTTACATTTTTATTTATATAGATTATATAGATTACGAACATTACTAAATGCCTCTAGAACATGGCCATATAGCCCAAAAAGAACTACAACCACCTAGTGATTCTGGCCATAAAAGCCTTCGACAATACATTACTAAATATCCGGCTATGGTGGTAGACATCTCAAATAATATCTCAAAAAAGGAGAGAGATGACAGATCACACTGGGTGGCATTCTATGCTCACTGTAATTCTTTAAAATGTTTTGCACCTCTGAGCAAAATATTAATAATAATAATTTTAAAATTAACACAATTTAATGCAAAAAAAAATACCTGGTTTCTACTAGCATACCTGCAAAGACTTGCCTGCGCATGTGGCTGGAAATTTATATGTACCCCATATGAGTAGTGCCTTAGAATATGAACCACAAGGCAGACATGTGGGAAAGGGAGGGACAGAAAGAAGCATGTCTGGTCTTGGAGGATGATACAGGTAAACGTGTGTCACACTGAATACCTCAAGGCTGGTTCCAACAGTCCTTCCATAACAGTGAACATCCTAACTGATGCATATGGGACTTGGTAGTTTTGTTATGACGGAGTTGTAGGATTCGCTCTAAAATTAAAATGAATGTCTTGTTTAATGTTCTCTCCCATTGCAAAGCCTGGAGATTTGGCTCACTATACACTCTGACCAATTTGTCTTATAAACAGAATATCTTACATGGAGTATCTTAGTGAAAATGGTCTCCTAGACACTAATACTTCTGTTTTATTTTGATTATATATAATCAGGCCAAATACTAGAAAATTCTGATGGAAACTGTTGTAGCTGTTCCTTTTGTGCCTGTTCAGACCTTTCTGGAGACCTTGGCAGCTTAGAGTACATCAACATTTCAGTTGTTGTGACCGAAAGCTGAACATACTCCTTTTTTTAAAGGGTTTTTTAAAATAACAATATATTTGAAAGGGAGGTAGGAACATAAAACCATTCAGTCAATACACAACAGCAATCTATACAAATAAAAATGTAATGTTCGTTTGTGGGATTAACAGAACTCAAAAACCACTGGACGAATTGACACCAAATTTGGACACAAGACACCTAACAACCCAATGTATGTCCTTCACTCAAAAAAATTGATTTTGTCATTTGGGAGTTGTCATTGCTGCAATTTATAGTTCACCTACAATCAAAGAGCATTCTGAAATCCACCAACGATGGAATTGAACCAAACTCGGCACACAGTTCTTCCATGACCAACAGAAAATACTGGAAGGGTTTGGTGGGCAGTGTCCTTTGGTTTTGGAGTTGTAGTTCACCTACATCCAGAGATCACTGTGGATTCAAACAATGATGGATCTGAAGCAAACTCTTCACAAAGACTCAATATGCCCAAATGTGAACACTGGTGGAATTTGGGGAAAATAGAATCTTGACATTCGGGAGTTGTAGTTGCTGGGATTTATAGTTCACTTACAATCAAAGAGCATTCTGAGCCCCACCAACAATAGAATTGAACCAAACTTGGCACACAGAATTCCCATGACCAATGGAAAATACTGGAAGGGTTTGGTAGGCAGTGTCCTTTGGTTTTGGAGTTGTAGTTCACCTACATCCAGAGATCACTGTGGACTCAAACCATGATGGACCCAAACCATGTGGGCTCAAACCATGGATCAAACTCTACACGAATACTCAATATGTGGACTCAA